CCAGCTGCACAAAACAGGCGCACAACAGAGCACAGCGCACAGCACAGGCCGGCGCGCGCGCAGCACACGCAGACGCACGCGCGATTCCAACACGCACACGCGCACAGCACGCGCGCATCGCACGCCAGCGCAGCGCCGCACACAGAGCACACTTGCCCACATCAGCAGCAGCCAGCCTGCCACAATCCTCATCTCACACACGCGCGCGCACGCACACTCCCCACGCCGGCGCACGCATTGGGCGTCGCCGAGAGGAACCAGAAGAACCAGAGAGTCGGCTTGAGGCCGTGAGGGATCCAGATCTGGATCCCTCAAGGCCTCACAAGCCGACTCCCTCAAGGCCTCAAGGCATCAACCTGGCTCCTTCCAGGCATACCTAGCCCCCTTCAGGCACCAACCAGAATCTTCCCAGGCATTATCCTGACTCCATCCAGGCAGGAGCTGGCTGCACCTCGCGATATCCCGCTCCATCTCGCCTAATCTCGCCCCATCTCGTCTAATCTCGCCTCGCCTCGCCTCATCTCGCCTCATCTCGCCTCATCTCGCCTCATCTCGCCTCATCTCACCTCATCTCGCCTCATTACGCCGCACGACGTGACCCGAGATCGACCCGAGATTGACCCGGAATTGAACCGAGATGGACCCGAGATCGACCCGAGATTGACCCGAGATCGACCCGAGATCGACACGAGATCGGCCAGAGATCGACCCAACGAGGCCCCTCTGGGGGGGAGATTGACTCAACAAGGCCCCAAAGCCCCCTCTCTGGGGGACCCCTCCCCCCCCACCCCGAGTGTCCGTGTCGTTCGCGAGTCTCCCACGGGCAGCAGGAGGGGGGGTCCGAAAAACGAACACGAGAGGCTGGGGAGGGGGGGGTCCACTCTGAAGACAGCCGACCGCGGAGGGGTTTTGTCCCACAGGGTTTTACCCTCCGCGTGAGGATCGGCGCGGCGAGGGGGTAGGCTCGAATTCGCCGCGCAACATTTCACCCCCACAGGACCCCCCCCTCCCCCCCTCATGGTCCCACCACCTAGAACCCCAATCTTAGGCTTCGCACCCTCTCCTTGCGTGGTGTCCCCCGCTATGTGTCGCCGTCTTCGGGGCACGCTATCCTGTGTAGTCAGGGCAAGTGGGGGCGGGGGGCAGTCCCTTTGACGTATGTATCTCTGGGTTCTGTCTCTAGTCTCGGAGGGGGGCTTGAAGGTAAGAATATTTTATTTTTATTATGCGCCGGGTTAGAGCCCCTGGTAGGAAAACCGACGGCGTCTCCAGTTGATGGAATCTGGGTTTGGAGATGATGGAGGGAAGATAGCCTGGGCGATTGCCAACGGCTGAAAATGGCTCCGACAGGTATACACCAATCTTTCACCTGCGCCCGCCCCACCCCGCCCCGGCCGCGGGCGACGCCGCCGCCCGCCCCCCACCCGCACACGGCCGTCCTCCGTTCACACGATCGTCCTCCGCCCGTTCTCGCTGGGTTGACCATCCCTGACACTTGGCCAAAATGTGTGCAAAGCCACTTGCGCTGCTCTGCGCGGCCCTGCGGCCGGACCCCGTGGGCTCCGCGTGGCCTGAGAGACCGGGCCCGATGGCCTGACACGCGCGTGAGCCGCCGATTCCACGGGAGACGCCTCCGAAGAGCTCCGAGGCACTGATCGCGCCCACTCTCGACCCCGTACGTACGCAGGCCCTGAATGTCTGATTTCTGCTGAGCTTCAAGGCGTGGGACTCGCAACGATGGCCTCGCGCAACCCTCGCCACATCTGACTTGCCCACTGCATACCTCGCGCAGGCGCTCTGGACGCTGCTCCACCGGAGAAGCGGCATGAGGCCCTCGCCGCCCTCGCCGCTCTTCGCACCGCGCTGCAGCCCGCGACGCCGCCCGACGAACCGGCGCCGACCGCGCCGCCAGACATGTTCTTCGCCGTGGGCGACTCGTGCCGGCCCTCCGCCGGCGAGCACGCGATCGCTGCGCTGTCAATGCTCCTCTTCCTCGAGCCGCGGCCGCTCGTGCGCTGGCGCACGCGTGCACTATCAAACTATTAGCCTAATAACGTACCTAATTATTAGAGTGTAGTTAATAATTAGCTTGTTATTAGCACTACTAAGCACCTAATACGCGTTATTAGCCGTTATTAGCCTAATAAGCGCTGTTATTAGCCTAATAAGCGCTGTTATCAACCTAATAATTAGCTTGTTATTAGCTACTCGCGTTATTAGGTACACTCTAATAATTAGGTACGTTATTAGGCTAATAGTTTGATAGTGTGTGCTCGAGCAGAGAGAGGTGTACCGGCTCGCGCCGCACTGGGCGGCGCCTACCGACTGGCGCGTCGGCAGCGACCGGCCGCTCGATGTGCTCAACGAGGCGCTGCTGAAGGCCCGCTCGCACAATCGTCCACGTCGTCCCTCGGGTCCCTGCTGCTCCTGATCTGTTCGTGATTTGGATACTTGTCACCACGTCTCCGGACCATATCTTTTTCGTGGTGCGCCTGTGTCCCTTGGTATTGCTAAAAATATATCCCGACCGCCACTATCGGAAAAGCACACTGGCACGGCCCGCCGCCTGCCGCCCGTGATGCGGGTTATTAGAGAAACAGAACACCCAGAGAGCGCGCGCACGCACACAAACAAAACGAAAGGATGGCGGGCCAATGGCCAATAAATAAGAAGTCCGTAAGGCCTCCAAAATTCTTTAACTTCAGGCGCCGTATCTCCAGAGGCGTACAACACATACATGTCCCTCGGGGCGAGGAGCACCGCTGGCGTGATGAGCCGGCGCGCCGAGTACGGACGCGAAGAGCGGCGATGGCGGGGCGAGTCGCGACGGCGGTCGCGATCGCGTGAGCCGCGGGGCGACGAGCGTTGGCAAGGTGAGCAATGGCCGCACCATGACGGGCGGCAACACGAGCGGCGCGGCTACAACGACGCTTGGTGCGGAGGTCGCGAGCAGCGATGGCACGATGAGTCACAATGGCCCGATGAGCGCGAGCAACGGCCGCATCATGACGGGCGGCATGACGAGCGACGCGGCTACGATGAACGTCGGTGCAGAGGCGAGCGCGAGCGCGGCTGGCACGATCGGCGCGATCACGATCCCAGGCGCGACCGAC